GCCACCCAGCTGTCACCTGCACCCAGCAGGCTTCCCCAGATCCGCCCCCTTGGTGCTCTCAGGTGGACCCAGGTGCTCACTGGGCTCCTCCTGTGTGCAAGGCCCAGAGCCTCACAGGCCCTCGCTCTGACCTGCACCCTAATCCCCGGTCTCTGGCCCCCAGGGACTGCGCGCCGCTGACAATGACCCCACCGCACCGCCCTACGACTCCCTGCTGGTCTTCGACTACGAGGGCAGCGGCTCCACCGCGGGCTCCGTCAGCTCCCTGGGCTCGTCCAGCTCGGGGGACCAAGACTACGACTACCTGAACGACTGGGGGCCCCGCTTCAAGAAGCTGGCCGACATGTACGGGGGCGGCGAGGAGGACTAGAGCAGGCGGACCGGAGAGGACTGAGCCCAGGCAGCCGCCAGCTCCCTGCAGGGACAGCAGCTCTGCTGTGGAGGTCCCGCCCCGCCCTCCCCAGGTGGAGCTGTCCAGCATGACCTGTCCCTGTCCTGGCCAGGCCTGCTGCCCTCTCAGTCGCCACCTACCACCAGGGAGAGCCAGAGGCACCGTCCTGACTTGAATCCCCAGAACAGAAGCACTGTTTCAAAAACGAAAGTGCCTTTGGTACACGCGTCGGATCCCCAACTCAGGAGTGACTGAAAGCAAGCAGACAGCCCCGCCTGGCCCCGCCCGGCCCCGCCCGGCCCCGCCAGCGGCGGAAGGCCCCCAGGAAGGCACGGACAGAGTCCTTCTTCTTTCTTTGTTGTTTTTTTTTCTTTCTTTCTTTTCTTTTTTTGCTGTTGTTGTTCGTTTGGGTTTTGGTTCTGTTGGGTTCTGTTGGGTTCTGTGCGTGCGTGTGTGACTCTTGGGAAAGTGGCTTGGGCCCAGGTCCTCACAGCCTTCGTGTCCATGGCAAGGGCTTCCCAGCAGCAGAGGCCCAGGGTCAGCCACCCCCTGACCACACGCCCAGGCCGGGGGACGTGGTTTCACCCAAGTGGGTGGCTGTCCCCACCACAGTCAGATGCTGTGAACAGCTGGGCAGCAGGTCCCCAGGGCCTGCCCCGGGTGCTCCCACCTCTGCCTTGGCCACCCCATTGTCCCGGTCCCCCCAAAGGCCTCTCTCTGAGCCAGCTGGCACCCCCAGTGCCACGGAGGTGCCCTTCACCTCTGGTCCAAGAAGCCACAGCATCCTGCAAACCCGGCCCGATCTGCAGACACTCGGGAGTGGACTCCCAGGACCCCACAGAAGGCCTGGTGAAAACGCTTCAGCCCAGCCCTGAGCTTCCTTGACACTGTCCAGCCCGGGCCTGGGCAGAGGGCAGAGCCTCACCTAGCCCAAGCCAGAGCCGCCTGCCTCTCAGCAACCACAGGCTTGGTACCAGCACTGACTTTGGCACACCCTGGCCGCTCCCTCCCTGGGGCCATCGGACCTGAGCTCCTGTCTGGTGTCTGTGAACTGCTGCAGGTGGCCAGCAAGAGGCCTGGTCGTCCTGAGCTGTCCATCCACAGATCCTCTAGGCTACCCGTGCCAGAGACTGAACCGTCTTTCCCTGTCCCAGGTCCCAGCTGCTCGGCCACGGTCCCTCCAGAGCTGGCGCCTGCTCTTTCCACGCGTGGCTTGACTCAGGCCTGGGGTTGGGGTGGCCATCAGCCCCACAGGACACCCATCAGGCTGTGCCCAGGGACTCCCAGGAGAAGGCATCTGCCTTCCTCACTGGGCGAGACAGCAGGCCTGGGGCACCTCCAAGTCTGGGTTCAGGGGCACCTCGGGTCAGCAGGAGGCAGGCACTGGGAGGGCGTCCTCTGCCTGGTCATTTCTGGCTGACCTCAGACAGTGACATTGTGAGGGTGAGGGAACCAGTGGCCTGGGGGACCTGGTACCGGCGCACCCTCTGGGGAGCAGGAGGTGCCAGGATTGAGGAAGGACAGGGGGCCCACACTGCTGCTGGGTCGGAGAGCCTCGAGGGCTGGGAGGTGGGGCGCCAGGGGCAGCGTGCCCCCACCAGAAGGGCTCTGATCCCTGGCTTCCCCGGCCTCTGTCTCTCCCCTTGCTAAGTTGTCCTCTTTTCTAAATAGCTTTGGCCTCAAAGATGCGCCTGAGTGGACTCTATACGTGCCAAACTTGTGGGTGTATCCCATTGGACGTCAGGGTTCTTCCCCAAACCAAACTTGTCCCCACCTCTGTTCTCCTCAGAGCTGAGCTGGGTCAGGCTCAGCTCTGTCTGTCCTGACCTCTCTGTGACCGTGACCGTGACCGCCTGGGGGGAGGACGGCGGGGGCTGCAGGTAGCCAGTCCAGGAGATGGGCCTGGGAAGGGAGGGTCCCCATCTCCAGCCGTGCTATGCAAATCGCTCTGGGCTGGCAGCCAATGAGGGGGCCCCGGTGTCTGGGGGCGTGGCCATGGCTGGAGGCCTGGTGGGGCTGGGGGTGGGAGCTGGAATGTTGTGCTTAGTATTTTGGACAGTTGGTCCTTGGATGGCAGTCCTGAGCCGGAGGAGGAAGAGTGGCCCGTTTGCAGTGTGCACGCGATGGGCAGCAGGGGACTGAATCCCCAAGCTAACGTGGTCCTCTGGCCAGGAGAGGGGAATCCCGCGGCCTGCTAGGTGCATCTCCTGGCCCCACTTGTCGCTCCCCTCCTCTCCTCACCACCAGGCCCCCTGCACTGGGCAGGCTGAGGCCGCACACCAGCTGGGGTGGTGTCCGTGGGGGCTCCCTGTGACAGCTGATAGCTTTCCCTTCCACCCCACACCCGATCAGCCCCTGGGGCCAGAGAAGATGGGGTTCCCACATCAGATCCACTCAGAGCTCTGCCCTGAGGCCCTGAGTTAGCATTAGCCAGTGTACAATCAGTGTCACGTCTCTCTTCTGTAGCGTGTAGATTTGACCTGTCTGGTCGGCCCAGCCGCAGGGCCCGGCTGGCTGGCAGGGTGCGGGGCATGCTTTAGTTTCTTTAGGGCATTTTTCTTCTAGAGCAGAATAAAGCTGTGCTGCAAGGTGGTGTCAGCAACACCCTGGCCTTGGTCAGCCTGGGCACCCCATCTCCTGGCCAGCAGGTTTTTTTCTTTCTTGTCTTTCAGCACATCCAAAATGCTAGGCTTCCCGCCACCAAAGTGTCAGAGTAACGTCTGACTGTCGGGCCCTCAGAGGTGCCTCGGTTTCCCTAGCGAGAGTACACGGTCCATTGAGGTGACCACTGTGTCTTCTCCAAGGTCAAACGCCAGGGGGAAGGGAATTTCCATTTCCATCAAGCTAAAAAGGAGTAACACCAAAAATCGGAACGGAATCTCCCGTGCACAGGGGGCTCCGGCGGCGGCTCCAGGCTGGCTGGCCGCTGCCCGCAGCAGGCCGGGCCCCCCGTGTGCACTTGGACGCCTTTGCTTTTCCTTTCTCTCCTTTTCCATTCTGGTTTTTTTGTTTTTTTTTTTTTTGCATGTTTCTTTCTGAGAATGGACAGACTGCGTAGCAGCCCGCATGACCGTGGTTGTCTTGGAAAGGTACCGGAGTATGACGTCTTCTCTCTGCAATCTGAGCATCGCGCCGTCAGACAGTGTTCCGGCTTTTTTTGTAATCGTCAACAGCACAACTATTTTGTATCGTTGTTTGTATCATTTTGTACCGAAAAAAAAAAAAAAGAAAAGAAAAAAAAGGGAAGGAAGTGGATGTTTCGATGTGTCCTTGGTATCAGGTGGCCTCGGCTCAGAGGAGCAGCAGCTCTGCGGGGGCGCGGGGCGCCAGCCAGGCCCCCGCTGCTCCGAGGAGTGAATAAAGTCCCCTTTGAAGAGTCGCCTCAACCTGCTTTTCTTCCGCTCACTGGGCTGCTGTGGAAGGACGGGGCAGCCGGGGTGGTTCCCGGGGTCCTTCCGGCAGCAAGCCCATTCCAGGAAGCAGATGCAAACACAACCGGCCCAAGCCGGGCAGATCCGGAAAGTGTCTAGAAGCCACCACTGAACAAAATATGTCCCCCTCTTATCTCAGCAGATATCCTCCATGGCCCTGGGGGACGCTGGTTCAAGTGTGGGATTCTCAGACGCCTTGGAGCCAACATGTGGCAGCAAGGAGTGATTGGGCCCGGGCCACTGCCCTTCCCACCCCTCCACCGCCCTGTCCAACACTGCAGGGGACCTCGATCCGACAGCCTGTGCGTCCCAGCCTCACCTAAAAAGCAGTACCCAGGTCTTCATGGGTCCACCTCGTACAAATTCTCCTACGACGGGGCAAGGTGGTGCCGCCTGTCCCCTAGCTATTAGGGAGGCCACGGCAGGAGGATTGAAAGTTCAGGGCCAGCCTGGGAAACTTAGCCAGGCCCTGATTCAAAATAAAAATAGAACAGGCTGGAGAAGGGGCTCAGTGGGAGAGCACCCCTGGGTGCAAGGCCCAGGAAGGACGGGCGGAAAGGAGAAACGACACACAGCGGCGGCAGGAGGGGCCCGTGGGGCGCGGGGTCAGGAGGCAGCTCGGGGTGCGCTGGCCCCGGTGCCCAGGGGTCTGAGGGCCGCACAGGCCATGACACTCTGCATTCCGCCCCCACCCCGGATAGGGACAAGGCCAAGCCAGGGCCAAAGTACAGGTGCACACACGCACACGCAGGCCACCCGAGATGGTCATCTCAGTGGCCACTGTGTGACCCAGGTCTGAGCAGCCCCACCACCCGCCCACTGGGACCCAGATAGCTGAAGTGACTTGGCTTTCCGCTGGTCTGTGGCCCAGTATCACCCAGGCCTCCCCCAGAGCTGGGGCAGCCAGGGCTGCTGGGGCCGAGACCACCAGTCCCTGGAGTGCTCCTAAGATGACTGTCCACGTCTCTTCCTGCCCAAAGCAGAGCCGTGGCCCCAGAGCTCTGGGGACATTCTGGCCTCCCCAGTGTCCAGAAAACCCCTCCCCCACAGAGGGGGACAGGAGCAAGCCCCCCGGCTCTCACACAGGTCCCACAGAACCAGCCAGAGACCCCCGAGGCTGAGAGGGGGTCACCTTCTAGGGGCAGGGTTTGAGCAAGGTGCTGAGGACCCGACCCAGGGCCTCACAAGTGCTGGGCAAGCACCCAGCACTGAGCTGAGCCCAGCCCGACGCTTGGTGGTCCCTCAGGGACATGGCCAGCAGGAAGACCCGGACAGTGGGCCTCTCTGCGGGCTGCCCAGAGTCAGGCCTCCAAACTTTGGAGGAACCTAGAGGCCCAGGCTCTGCGGCCCCCCACCAGGAGAGGACACAGCAGCCCTCACCCACACCAACCTGCTGGTGCGTGGATTTGGACTTGTAGCCTCCGGAACTGGGAGACAGGGAACTGCTCTTCATAAGCCACCAGGGTCAGGTGTGTGTCATCAGCCCAGGAGCCAGCCTGCTGTCTCTGCCTCAGACCTCTGTGTCCCTAACAGTCCAGCAACCACAGCGACAAGCATGGACCATGGCCCAAACAGCCAGAACCTGAGGGCTAGTGGGCAGCTTCGTCCTGGGCCTCACACAGTGGAGTGGTCCTCTCAGGACCCCTGACCAATCTCAGAGTGGGCCTGCCCCTCGTGAGCTTCCTCCACTCCGTGGGGCTCAGCCTGCCCAGCCTCCCGAGGGTCCCTCTACCCCGGTGTCCCCTTGCCTGCCTGGTCCCTGCCACCCTCGGTGCTGTGTGGGCAGCCCCGCACACCCAGGTGGCCCTGGTACTCTTCCTGCTTGGAGGACCCCTTCACAGGGACATTCACCCTGAGCTGTCGCCTCCTTGTGAAGGAGTCTTGGGGGTGTCCCCTCCCTGGACAAGCCAGGTGCTCTCCTCCTGTGGCCCTGGAGACTGGGGGCCCTTCTTGGCCACCTGGACAGTTCTGGTGGCCCTGCAGCCCAGCGGCCCACAGCAGCCAGGTAAAGGGACAGTGGGCCGGGACAGCGCCTGCCAGGACCACGTGGATGTGAGCCTGGCTGGCCCCTGGGTCTCTTCCACATGCGTCAAACCTCAGCCTCCTCCTGACACCTGACCTTAGAGGCCCCTGGTGGTCAGGATCTTCCTGCAGGTTGGATGCCCTGCAGGGGACAAGCCTCTACCCCAACTCCTGCCTGACTATGGGAGATGGGAACCACCAGGCCCTTTGTAAGACCAGCTCAGCGGTGTCTGTGCCCCGGGAAGCCAGTCCCTGGGAGGCCAGGGCCAGGCCCCTCGCCCACTGCAGATGATGGACCAATACCCCCAGGCTGTCTACCCACTCCAGACACGCTGAAGTCTCAGCACCCCCAGCCTCTGCTCCCTTCACAAGCTCATCTGGACCTTGCCTTGCACGTGGCTCTGGGGCCTGCTGGGAAGTGCTGCCCAGGGCAGGGCCCCTCAGTCCTCCCAGCTGGTAGGGAGTCCCGGGCTTGGAGCAGACTCTCCTCCCCACTACCAGGGACAGAGCTGAGTGCCACTGGTGGGAGAGCCAGGCACAAACCACCTGAGAAGCTCCTGGCAGGCACAGGCCACCCCTCGGCCCGGGTGCTGCTCACACAGCGGCGACTGGGGACCCACTCCCGGAGCCAAGGCAGAGCTGGTGTTCACGGGCTCCACGCCTCCCCCTCACTCCGGCCAGCACACCCTCTGAGTCTCAGTGCCCTGGCCCTGCAGCCAGTGGAGGGCCAGCCCCAGGCCTGCCCCTGACAGCAGGTTCCATGGCAGCAGGCTGTGGGTCCCCCAAGCTCTCCAACTGCTCCATCATGTGGCCCAGCTGCCCTGTCTGCTGGCCTGAGCCCACACTGGAGGGCCTACAACAGCTCACATCTCCCCAGCCACACCTGTCCAGGCCACCTGGACTGCACAGGTTCTGCCTTTCCTGGGAAGACAGCTAAGAGGCAGAGCTACCCCACAGGCCACTGAGCCTGAGCCCCAAGCTGCACCCCATGCTGCAGCTGCAACCTTGCTTGCAACATGGGTCAGTCCAGGTCCCACAGGGCAAGGTCTGGACATCAGGTGGGCAAAGCCTCCCCACCTAGCCCCTCCTCATCTCTGGGCAGAGTGGGTTCATCTGCCTCTACCCACCCTTCCCTGGCCTTTTCTAAGGCACAAATTTGCATCCACAGTGACTTGCATGACAAAAGGTCTGAAAAGGGGTGCACTGGAGCCCAAAGGCCTTCTCTTGGGTCCCTCCTGGACAGGGGAAACAGAGTCATAGGCAGAGCCCACAGCCCATGGTGTAGACAGCTCAGCCAGGTGTAGACAGACTCACCTGCCAGGTAGGTAGGAGGACCCTGCGCCCACTGCCAGGCACACTGCATGTGCACCCAGGCCTCAGACCTCCTCAGACCCGCTGCTGTGGGGCGCTGTCCGAGGTGCTGAACCCTCACTGCTGAGCCAGGTGGGGGAGCACTGAGGGCAGGTGTCCAGCAGACCTCTAAGCACCTGCCCCCAGGTGGGCCTTCTCCGTGGGCAGACCTCAGGGTCCACTGTGAACACAACCTCCACTCGTTGTGAACATCTCAAACCCAAAGCTGAAGATCCAATGCCTGTGGCACAGAGGAGAAGTGGCTGACCCTCCTGGACTTGGCCCCTGAGTCCTCACTTGTCCTGTGACACCACTGGAGCATCAGGGAATCCACCAACATGACATTTTAGTCTGGGCCATACAGTGGTGTCTCCAGGCCTGGCCACAGGGCCCAGCACCCCACTAACTGCTGGCCCTCACCTGTCCAATTGCTAATGGTCAGACACTCCCAGGCTGCCCAGCAGGCAGGCTGGGACCCAGGCTGGGTGGGCACCCTGATCTCAGTCATGCTTGGCTCCCCTGTGGTTGGGAACAATGTCCCTCATTTCTTTTTCATGATGCTATTTCTGAGAAGCCCAGAGGACCAGCCGTGTGAGTTCTGTTGCTGCCAGAAGTGGTCAGCAGAGCAGGTCAAAGGCACCCCGGGCCCACCAATCTGGGGTGAGGCAGCTGCCGCTCCTGGCTGGGTCCCAGGGGCTGCAGCTAGGACTCACCTGGGGAGGACCTGCTCTGTGCTCATGCAGGGCCTCAGCCCTAGGGAGGTGGCCATGGCCCCCCACATGAGCCCGGCCAGCGCCTCCAGGACAGAGGCCATGGCCTCTCAAGCCAGGTCTCAGAAGAGGCAGCCTGTGGCTCCTGCTGAGGCTCCTTATCCAGCCCTCCCTGGAGGGCCTACACGACTGGACACAGGGACCCTCCAAGGCTGTTCACAGAGGCCTGCAGAGGGTCCCTCCCTCCTGGTCCAGCCGCAGGCGTCCCAAGAACCCATTCAGGTTGTCTCTCGAGGAAGACAGGGGCTGTCAGTCACGCGCATCCCAGAGCAAAAGCAGACCTCGGCCTCCCCCGGGGTCGTCCGAGGCAGGCCTTGCTCAGAGGCCACAGTGGAGGCTGCTTGTCTGGAGCTCAGGGCAGAAGGCCCAGGAGAGGGGCCTTCTCCTTCTGGTCCTCCTGCACCAACTCTGGTAAAGAGGCCCCACAGGGTCCACAGGTCAGATAGAAGGGCACTTCCAAGGGCCCTGGGGGCCACAGCATGGCTGCCACACCAGGCTGACACCCAAGAAGGTGGAAGTGGACCCCACCAGAGCCCAAGAAACCCCACGAAGGCCGGACCTCTGGGCCAGCAGGACCTTCCGGCTCACACCATGTGAGAGGCGGCCCGGCTCCTGTGGGTCTCCCCGGCCCTCAGCTGGGCAAGGCTCTCTGTGAAGAGGAGGTCCAGGCTGCTCTGGGCTGGGGGCAGCGGCCAGGGGGCTGGACACAGAGGGACTGTCCTGTCACTGACGTCCGCGTAGCCCAGGCTCATGTGTGTCCCGTGCATGGGGCTGGGGTCTTGCCGAGCACACACTGGAGCAGGCCT